ATGAACAACACGTGGTATTAAACATTTTTAATTGTATGGTAGGTATTATGAATGTGTTTCTAGATATTATTATTAAGTTGTTACTTTGTCTTTGTCACCCCCCCCCCCCCTCGGCCATCTCTTCAGTGTTGACAATGACCTGTCAATAGTTGAATTGACCCTTTTTCTGGGGGGGGGGGGGGGTCGTGGTGACACCATAAGGGTGAGAGAGAAACATTATAAGTTCATTTCTTGTTTAAGTGCGCCCTCTATTGAGAAATCTTAGTGGTTTTGTGGCCCTTTGGACGCCATATTAGATTTCGTGGTTTCCTGAACCACTGCTTAACGTTCTAACTTATCCTAGTGAATTCTATGACCCCGCAAAACTATAGCATAGACACCCCAATTATGTTATTCCTGAGGTCAAATACTACTAGAAACCGTTGAAAAACCTTTTGTTGCAATTTTTGCATAGCATAGACACCCCAATTATGTTATTCCTGAGGTCAAATACTACTAGAAATATTACCCGTCCCCCCTTCAACTGATAGTCAAACTTAGGAAAATTTTGTTGGTGACAAGACAATATATAATATTAATGTCCGGGTCGTTATCATATAGGTTGAGGCGGCGGATGTTGGGGCTTGGCATATTTCATAATTCAAATGTTTTTGCTTTAAATTTCGTTCATTACATTGGATAACAAATTTCAAAATTAAAGTATAATATAAATTCGTCGCCGTTTTCACGAACCGGCACAGCCCTACGCGCAACGAAATAAGTACATTCTGAGAAAAACGCGTTTTAAGTTTAACCCGTTTTAAAACCGCCAGAAACATGTCTTATTTAAAACTGTGTATCACAAAATACATATCAACTAAAAGAAAATATTCTGTATTTTCTAAACATATCATTTGTATAGTTTGATGACAATTACTATTAATGTTACAAAGCTCTGAACTCTCGTGCCGGTTCGTGAAAATAAAAAAATTGCTGTTTACGTAGCAAACATATTTTCACGAACCGGCACGGTCGCCTGTGTCGTCTGTCAAGCGCTGAATTTGTTTTCACGAAACGGCACAAGACAGTGTGCGCATGCGCGCTCTACGTAACAATGCGTTATTAATGTTGTCTTTTCATGCAGGAGTACCATTATGTGCATGTAGCACACTTTGATCTCGTGCTATCTTCTTCGAGCTAATCATATGATTTTATGTTTTAGCTTGTTCTTAAGACATCCCGAATGGTGATCCTCAGGACAATACCAATATCCTTAAAATTCTGTACCACATGGGTATTAGGATTTCAAAACAATTTAGATGAGATTTTTACACACGTTCATGACATTTCGTTCGTGCAAAGACAAAAAATTAATTCATGAAAAAATAAGAATTTTGAAAAGAAATGAATTATCAATAGTTCAATATTTCAAACATTACCGTATCCGTTATACCCGAATATTCATGATTTCATTTTGTAGAATGACATACTAAGAAGGTAGAATCTTTATCTCATTTAATCTTTAAAATATTTGCATCATAAGCAACCAGTAGGCCTATTATTTTGGCTTTGATATAGGCCTATAATCACTCTACCAATTTTTTCTTTGTATGTACACTGTTGATTCTCTTTTATTCCCTCTTTTCCTCATCCTTCTACAAGTTTGATATGTCACTTAATTTCTCTTTTGATCTTTATCTCGTGATCTCTCCCCCCCCCCCCGGCTCTCTTTTCACGTTTTTGCTTTTGTTCTCTTTTTTTTTTGGGGGGGGGGTTGTCCCTGCTGTATCTCTCTCCCTCTCTCTTTATTTCACTGTCCCTAAATCAATACATTAAAACATCTCATAAATATTCAAATACAGATACAATTCTATAACAGTTACTTATGAACAATCATGAACGAAAACAATTGTGCCAATTAACATCATTGGAAGAACAGAGTACACAGAAAACGGCTTATTGGATTTAAAAAAATTTAATCTTGGTTCTTAAGAGAACACTCTTGGGTAAACTGATTCAATGTGAGACATTACTGATTTTAACAAGAGGAAATCATATTTTCCCATCATTTGGTTGTCATTTCAGTTATAATAAATCACAGAATCTATACAATTTATTTAAATACACACATTTTTTAGTTCCTGTATTCACAAATTCATTTTCTTTGAATCATTAATGAGTTAACACATTCAATTTTTAGTTCCTTTTTGATTTTTGATTTTTTAATTTTATTTTGGGATTAGAACAATGCAACTTTTAAGTAATACCAGTGTATTTATGATAACATTTTGTACTCAATAAAAGTCACTGAGCTTTTAATTAATGATGTATTGATTGTTCAAATACAGTTCACAAGCCACATAATGATGTCTAAATGATTCCTGTAATACCAATTTATATAAAGGGGCTACAATTATATGTGTACTTGTATGAATAGAAGTGTAACAACAACGTTAACTGTTCATTGAAGAACAAAGTAATTAAGTACTTAAACGACTTTTTTTTTTCTTTTCAAAAACACAACTGAGATGGCGTAAATATTCATATTTCAAATGATAGCGCCGTTAAAACCAAAAGCAACAACAATATTCAATTTAACCATTTACATTTCCCTACCTACATTTACTGCTAGTCTATTTTCATTGCATTTTAGCCAATATTAAACAATAATTATAGTTCATTCAATCCTAATTATTCATTAAATATATTTCATCTCATAGGAAACACAAATTGTACAAATAAAAAATATCTACATTATCTACAGAGTCAATTGAATTTTATTTTCAATACTAGTGTTATAAATAAATAAATACATGTATATGTCTATTAATGATGTATTTATGAACACAAATAAGTGAAGTGCCACAGTTTAAGAATGTTCTAAATATAGTTCATACAGGCAGCTTGTATTATATGTATTCTGTATATGAACAGTCTTGTCTCTTATAATTGGTAATACTTTGAGGTAGACTTTTTATAACAAAAAACTTATTTACACTTCAATCTTAATATTTTCAGAACAACAATTGCAAAAAAAAAAATAACAATGGTTATAATGACAATTAGGAGACTACAATAAATATGCTATGTCACATAATGTGCCGTGATGAAAGAGCTTGTTTGTTTCTTCCAAGACACATTTGGTACTTATGACCCTTTCCCAATTCTTCTACTTGTCAAGTAAATTATAATCCTTAAATAGCAGCTACAAAATGTAACAATAAGATGTTCATCCTTTGAATGTAACACTATCAAGATCAAAAGTACCATAATATTCCGACTTCCTACTTATTATCAATACGGAATCAAACAGCAATAAATTCAAATGTTGATTACACAGTATCATACAATGAACAAAATTTTCTATGTCATAGAGCATATTAAATTCAATAGGTCATATATCAATTAACTCTTTACAAGTAAATGTTTACCTTGACATTTGACACTTTATGGTGTCAAAGATGTTTGAAAAATGTGGTTTTACATACACGTCATTGAAGAAAATTTAATGGGTACAATACTTCAACTGATCCATCTTGTCTACGGGATCCAAGCTCATCGCACAATAAAATCAATAATTATAAACAAAAAAGTTCCTGTGATCAGATATGAAAGAAGATATCCTCAGGATTGATGATATTATAGTCTTTAACAAAGACTGAGGTGCAACATATAATCACAAAGGGGTGACAGTGCAGTAAAAATGATGTGCAATACAAATGGGGTGTACATAGAATGCTAGAACATAAAAAAGGGTGATAGTTAGCATTAGAGAAGGTGCTGTGAATGAAGAAATACTTAGGTGCAACATATACAATCACAAAAGGGTGACAGTGCAGTAAAAATGATGTGCAATACAGATGGGATGTACATAGAATGCTAGAACATAAAAAAAGGTGATAGTTAGCATTAGAGAAGGTGCTGTGAATGAAGAAATACTTAGGTGCAACATATACAATCACAAAAGGGTGACAGTGCAGTAAAAATGATGTGCAATACAGATTGGGTGTACATAGAATGCTAGAACATAAAAAAGGTGATAGTTAGCATTAGAGAAGGTGCTGTGAATGAAGAAATACTTAGGTGCAACATATACAATCACAAAAGGGTGACAGTGCAGTAAAAATGATGTGCAATACAGATGGGGTGTACATAGAATGCTAGAACATAAAACAAGTTGACAGTTAGCATTAGAGAAGGTGCTGTGAATGAAGAAATACGCAGGAAGTGTGGTGTTAGTCTTTAACAGGGACTGAGGTGCAACATATAATCACAAAGGGGTGACAGTGCAGTAAAAATGATGTGCAATACAGATGGGGTGTACATAAAATGCTAGAACATAAAACAAGTTGACAGTTAGCATTAAAGAAGGTGCTGTGAATGAAGAAATACTTAGGTGCAACATATACAATCACAAAAGGGTGACAGAGCAGTAAAAATGACGTGCAATACAGATGTGGTGTACATAGAATGCTAGAACATAAAACAAGTTGACAGTTAGCATAATAGAAGGTGCTGTGAATGAAGAAATACTTAGGTGCAACATATACAATCACAAAAGGGTGACAGAGCAGTAAAAATGATGTGCAATACAGATGTGGTGTACATAGAATGCTAGAACATAAAATAAGTTGACAGTTAGCATTAGAGAAGGTGCTGTGAATGAAGGAATACTTAGGTGCAACATATACAATCACAAAAGGGTGACAGAGCAGTAAAAATGATGTGCAATACAGATGTGGTGTACATAGAATGCTAGAACATAAAACAAGTTGACAGTTAGCATTAGAGAAGGTGCTGTGAATGAAGAAATACTTAGGTGCAACATATACAATCACAAAAGGGTGACAGTGCATTAAAAACGATGTGCAATACAGATGGGGTGTACATAGAATGCTAGAACATAAAACAAGTTGACAGTTAGCATTAGAGAAGGTGCTGTGAATGAAGAAATACTTAGGACTGGTGCTCTAGTCTTTACAAAGACTGAGGTACAAGAGAACCAAGGATTGTCCACTCTAGATGTGTTGATGCTTGTCCGGCTTACCAAAATTCAAAGTTCTTCTTTTATTGGTTGGGTAAGTTGTCCAAATATTAATGGCAATGTTGATTACTAGGTGAAATATCTCAAGAATCTAGAGGGAAAAATGAAAGGAAAGAACACGATCGAGTTATAAAATGAGTATGCTCTTTTTCTGTCAAGCTAAATCAACTAATCCAATATAATATTATATATATATATATATATATATATATATATATATAAATATTCTTTTCAATAGCAAGTTGTCCAATTATTATTATAGCAATGTTGAGTACTTGGTGAAGTATCTCAGGAATCTAGAGGAAAGAATGAAAGGAAAGAACACGATCGAGTTATCAAATGAGTATGCTCTTTTTCTGTCAAGCTAAACCAATATTCTTTTCAATAGCAAGTTTTTGTTGTTGTTGATATACAGTTTTCAATAGATATGAAAAGTCACAGCGAACTGCCAAGGAATTTTAGTTTCCTTGTGTTTTCAAATACACGTATTAGTTTTAAGTTTTTCCAAATAAAATGTCCATACCATCAAGTATGCATAATCAATCTGATTAATTTGACAAGTGAATACAAAACAAACTTGGTTAAATCCACATTTCCATTGGATTTACCATATTGCCTTCATACAAACATGAGCTAGAGAATTTCCCTATTGCATAATATGTAGGCTATAGGTGAATCGCTCATTATATAGTAGGGGATTATGTTGAGCCACAATAGTATGATGCTATCGATTCAACTTTGGGGACAACTATTATCTAGAATGTGATACACCAGTGTTATTTCCCTTTACTCATGATTTACATACTATAATCTTGGTTAAACAGTGTTAATTACTCCGAGAAGTCAAAGGATTACAAACACTGCCACACTTGACATTCCATCTTAAACAGCAATACTTTTTCATCCTAACTTATCTTCAATGTAATGAAGGATTTCAGTCAAATTAATTATAGTTACATCACAGAAGTGATTATAATCTTGGAGATAAACAATGAATTATTTCATAGGCTCTATAAAAATTCACCTTCGTATCATTATCAACATCAAAGCAATTCTACATATTTTTCAGTTCTCATATTCCTCCTAATAAGGTGTTCCTTGAAAAATATTGTCAGTTGTTATAAGTGCCAATTAATAAGGAAGTTGGCGATAGAATGCCTGATAGTCAGGATGGGCAATAACAGGAATACGGCCTTGACAGAGTGTCATTAGATCGTCATACTTTCCCTTGGAAAGTTTTGGACTACCACCCTCATATAGGCACTGAGGTTCATCTCGGACATTTATCACTGTCCTGTTCCTTCTGGAGCCTTCAATTAGAAGGGGATGGAAGGACTCCTCCGTGTGGCTATTCTTGAAGAAGATGGAGTCTTCTTTTCCTCTCACAACCTTGATGACCATGAACTTGGTCCAAACAATGTCCAGGCCATCTTCAGAGGTGCGGTTCCTCAGAATGCCCCGCCTCTGGCTGTGCTGCTTCCAGTCAAGCACATCTGAGGATGTGACAGTGGTCACTGTGAAGGGAGCCTTTTTCCTTGCCATCTTACACACTGTTGTCAGCTGTGCAGGGTGAAATATCTCCTTATGTTGTCGGAGGCGTTTCTCGATGACACTATGCGTTACATCGCCCTCGGATTGGCCATGGTTAGTCGCAAAGTAATTGATTGTGATGTCATTGATATTCTTTGATGAAGCTAACATCGACATCATCATCCCGGGCAAAATGGAATTCTTATTCTGCCCCACACAACCATCACAAAAGAACTCCACGACTTTTACACCCTTTGCATCTTGCCATTCAAGACATTTCTTCAGGCAAGACGCAATCTCACAGGCACCACGACCTGTTTGGCCTTCATGCGAAAGAAAGCAATGGCCCTCCCGCGTTCCGAGATTATAGATGGTGAAATTGTAGTTGGCCAGTCTTCTTTTGTAGAAAATTTCGGCTCGCATGGACTGAGGCAGGTAGATAACTTGCTGCAGGTCAAACACTGCAGCACAGTAAGTAGGATCAGCCTGTGCTTTCTCTTTAGCTGCCTGCTTCTTCTGCCGAACACCTTCCTTTTCAGCAATGTGCTGTTGATGCTCAATCTGTAGGCTCGCTTTCTGCTCTGTGGTGCCTCTGTGGAATGAATCGCAGAGCCCACACTGGTCTTTTTTGGGCCGATGGAACTTCAAATTCATACCTTTAAGGGTTGACAAGTAGAGACTACAAGATGCTCCTTCGGGGTGGTCTGAGCGATACATCTTGTACATGGTGGATACACACAAGTCGGAAGATAAGTAGTGGCAGGTAGAATTAGCTCGACAATAATGGGAGTCAACTCGAGGAAACCTATTGATGTGCTTGGTCACCTCCTCTCTCAAGGCTTCGTCCCGAACCTTGCGTGGTGCCTGCCTTCCTCCTCGTCTGTCTGTGTCCAGAATTCCACATGGCATGCATTTTTCAAGCACGGTACGCACTTGTCGATGTGAGACTGCAATAGTGTTAGTGAACATAGTCTTACATACTTGGCGTTTCTGATGAGGGTCCGTGGTTGAAGGCAGAAAATAGAAGACCATTTTTCTCATGTCATCTCGGATCTCTAGGTGCCTTGCGATCCACTCTCTTTGTTTTTGGAGATCATTGAGGTCATAGAAATGCTGTCTTATGTCCTTTCGTTCTTCATCACTGATCTCTTGACATTGACAACTTCGCAACCTACAAGCCTTGCAGTTTCGTACAAATGGTGCATTTCTTCTTCCCTCAATTTTCCTGTTGGTTTTCTCAGTGACATAGGAATTTCCACTGTTCCTCTGTTTCTTGACATGAAAATTACGGCTCTTTGGAGACTTAACTGGTTGCTCAAATAGTGGTGTACCCTCACCATCTACGAGGAAGTCTTCTGGCTGTAAATTGACATTTTCATCAGAGTAGGATGGAGTTGATATAGATGTACTGACATCAACTGATGGATATGAATCATCAGGGCCAAGACTGGTACTTGAGAGAATACTAAAAATAGCGTTGCTAAGATCAGAGAGGGCATCTACATCCGTAGATGCAATACTGTTACCATGGGTGACATTTGATTCCCTGGAATCACCGATGATACTAGGAGTGTGTACACTTGATGCACGTGGAGCAATTGGACCGTTGCTAAGATCAGAGACGGCATCTACATTCATAGATGCAATACTGTTACTAAGGGTGACATTTGACTTGCTGGAATCACCGATGATACAAGGAGTGTGTACACTTGATGCACGTGGAGCACTTGGACCGTTGCTAAGATCAGAGAGGGCATCTACATCCGTAGATGACATATGGTTACCAAGGGTGACAATTGACTTGCTGGAATCGCCGATGGTACTAGGGGTGTTAGGAGTGCGTACACTTGATGCACATGGAGCACTTGGACCGTTGCTAAGATCAGAGAGGGCATCTACATTCGTAGATGAAATACTGTTACCAAGGGTGACATTTGACTTGCTGGAATCACTGACGATACTAGAATTGCGAACACTTGATGCACGTGGAGTACTTGGACCGTTGGTAAGATCAGAGACGGCATCTACATTCGTAGATGCAATACTGTTACTAAGGGTGACATTTGACTTGCTGGAATCACCGATGATACAAGGAGTGTGTACACTTGATGCACGTGGAGCACTTGGACCGTTGCTAAGATCAGAGAGGGCATCTACATCCGTAGATGACATATGGTTACCAAGGGTGACAATTGACTTGCTGGAATCGCCGATGGTACTAGGGGTGTTAGGAGTGCGTACACTTGATGCACATGGAGCACTTGGACCGTTGCTAAGATCAGAGAGGGCATCTACATCTGTAGATGAAATACTGTTACCAAGGGTGACATTTGACTTGCTGGAATCACTGACGATACTAGGATTGCGAACACTTGATGCACGTGGAGTACTTGGACCGTTGGTAAGATCAGAGACGGCATCTACATTCATAGATGCAATACTGTTACTAAGGGTGACATTTGACTTGCTGGAATCACCGATGATACAAGGAGTGTGTACACTTGATGCACGTGGAGCACTTGGACCGTTGCTAAGATCAGAGAGGGCATCTACATCCGTAGATGACATATGGTTACCAAGGGTGACAATTGACTTGCTGGAATCGCCGATGGTACTAGGGGTGTTAGGAGTGCGTACACTTGATGCACATGGAGCACTTGGACCGTTGCTAAGATCAGAGAGGGCATCTACATCTGTAGATGAAATACTGTTACCAAGGGTGACATTTGACTTGCTGGAATCACTGACGATACTAGGATTGCGAACACTTGATGCACGTGGAGTACTTGGACCGTTGCTTAGATCAGAGAGGGCATCTACATCCGTAGATGCAATACTGTTACCAAGGGTGACATTTGACTTGCTGGAATTGCAGATGGTACTAGGAGTGTGTACACTTGATGCACGTGGAGCACTTGGACCGTTGCTAAGATCAGAGAGGGCATCTACATCCGTAGATGACATACGGTTACCAAGGGTGACAATTGACTTGCTGGAATCGCAGATGGTACTAGGAGTGTGTACACTTGATGCACGTGGAGCACGTGGAGCACATGGAGTGTTGCTAAGATTAGAGAGGGCATCTACATCCGTACATGAGATGGGATTACCAAGGGTGACATTTGAATTGTTAGAATCGCCGATGGTAGTGGAAGTGTGAACACTTGATGCACATGGAACCTGCTGGCAAGCATGAGTTGAGGGAATGCTAGTTATGGTACTAGAAAAGAGGTTACAATGTTGTTTAAATGAGTTTACATCAACATTATGGAGGCGGAATGCTACATTATGATAGAAGCAATTTTCACTTTGTTCAAAGTTTGGAAAACAAAGGAGACAATTACATCTATGGCAAGCAGCCCACACATCATGTTTACAGAAAAAACTGTCACACATTCCAAAGCTCTTCTTGTGCAATCTCTTCCTTTCTGCTTGGTTTTTGTTCTTGAGACTTTGATCTGGAAAGTGCAATCAAGAAAGAAAGAGAGAGAGAGACTCTAATTCATGTTTTAAAGCTGTATTAGACTTGCTTGAATACGAAAAGCAAGGAGTATTCTTATTCTAGGATAGATTAATTTTTACATCAACAGAATTATAGTTATTATTAAATATTGTAAATGTCCCAGAGTATAAAACAATCATAGCATATGTACAGGGTGTTAGAATCTAATCATTTTGACAAGAAAATGCTAAACAATAAAGGGCAACTTTCCTTTCAAACTTAAAATGTGCTTACCTGGGAAGACGACAAAACCTGGCTATTTACCGGTTTCCATTGGGATCGCACAGCAATGTAAACAAAAAACCTGATTTTCTTTAAAACTTATAAAGTTTGTAAGACTTACCTTATTATCTGATTCACAAAGTGGAAATATATTTTATGAAAAAACTTATATTTTTAAGATAAGAGACATACTTTTAGGTCTTTTGGTGAAAGTTGCCAATGGCATATCCATATCAGAGTCGGAGTCTTCCATATCAGAGTCAGATTCTTCTGAAAAGAAGAGAGAGAGGGAAGATTTGGAGGTGTCAATATATTCATAATTATCTTCCAATCTACACAAAGTTTGAAAAATGATGGTAAAAACCAAATCACCCTATTGACAAGAAAAGGCTAGACAATATAGGGAAACTTTCCTTTCAAACTTAACATGCACCCATGTGGGATGTCTACAAAACCAGGATTTTTCGGTTCCAACTTCCATGGGGATCATTGCACAGCATGTAAACAAACAAAAAACAGATTTTTAAAAAAAAACATTATACGGTTTCCATGACTTGCCTAATTATTTTTAATAACTTTTTTCTTATAATGTAACTAGAATTACTGCACTTTCCAGCTTTTTTTTAACGATTGGATTTGTATGTCGCCTGGAGGACAGTCACAAATATCTGTGGTAAGAGCTGTGGCAATGGCTGAATACTGTAGTATCGATAGCAAGATTACTAATGATTGAAAGAGGTTTCAAAACAACAGTTATTAAGTTAGAATATAATGGAAATATATTTTATGAAAAAATTAAATTTCAAAGATAAGAGACATACTTTTAGGTCTCTTGGTGAAAGTTGCCAATGGCACATCCATATCCGAATCAGAGTCTGAGTCTTCTGAAAAGAAGAGAGAGAGGGAAAAATTTAAATATATTCATAATTATCTGCCAATCTACACAGAGGTTGAAAGATGATGGTAAACCTAATGAAAGCAATGACAATATGCGTTTGTGGAAAAAATAATGCTTGATCTTTCATGCAATTCCTCAAATCCATTATGTTAAATGAAATTTGCTTTTGTTTCAGAAATAACATCACAGAAAAACCCTTTCTCTTAAAAGAAAAAAGGATTATTTTACAAATATTGACTGGTAGGTTGCGTAATATAACTCATTTGGTGGTCCAAAAAATCTGTTTTATTAGATAGCTTTGATTTAGTTTGTGTGACTTTAGAAATAGGTTTCTTTTGTTAATGTTTATGCAAGCACTCTGAGCTGAACCATTGTGACGTAATAGCTTAGGCGCGGATCCATTATTTTACGCAGCTTAGTCATTATGACATATGCGGTCAGTCATTATATCACCAAAATTGACCAAACGTGAAAATATATCAATCGCGATCCCCGTAATGAATATCTTATGACACGCTGTTGACCAATCACACCTTAGCATCTCTCTGAGCTATCTTATATAAGATATTAGCCAACTTATTCAACCTAAATCATACAAAATCTACACAATTTAACATTGAGAAACTATTTCAACTTTCATTTTGGGGGTTTGTAACTATTTAGCGAGTGAGGGCATTGTGAAACATCTAGCGTCCTACTTCTGTTTGAGGAAATTGTTCTTTGTGTTGACAAGTAATATTATTTAATACATGTTAATGAATGAAAACATCCTTCACATGGTTAGAACTTTTAAAAAAATGCTCTCTTTGCGGCTTATAAAAGCTAGAAAACCTGTAGACACAAAAGATTGATAAATGAAAGCTAAGATTAAAGTTCAAATGAAAAGCAAAATTGTCATGAAAAAAAGTAAGTTGAACATGCAATAAGAGATCATAGGCCTACCTATTACATCCTGGGGAAAATCCATCTCTGAAGCCTCCACAGCAATAACCTTCCCCTCCCAGGGAACTCCTTCCCAAAGCATCGTCACTTTCGCACCCTCTCTAATCGGCTCTTGATAGATGAGTTCCGTCGTAGACACCACATTCTTCTCCACTCCATTGTCCCACTCAACCAGTACATCGACTGCTCCTTCTTGACTGAAGAAAAAAAAAAAAAAAAAAAGGAAATGAAAACAAAACATATTCTATTTTCATTATTCATAAAAGGGGTCTTAGAAAATGAATTTTAAAAAGTTTGAAGTCAGGACTTGCATGACTTCTGGTGTACTCTCTCTCTCTCTCTCTCTCTCCTTGCCCCTTTGCTCACATTGAGGACAGATAATCTTTTTTTCTATGCGTAATAAATTTTGAGTTAAAACAAAAAAATCTCATAGCTTTCAAGGACTAAACACAAAACAAGAATTCTCAGTGTATAATGGAGCATCATTACTTTCTTGCCTTTTGGGCATATATTATGTACCGTTATTAAAAGAAATTGAGACAGCGTAAAAACACATTGCTTGATAATTACAGAAGCGAAGGACATTAGTATATACTTGTATGAGATGTGCATTATTTGTTTCACAAAAGATAATGTGGTATTAAAATGAACATTAATTCAGATTCAGTAACGGTTCATCAAATTTCTAAACCTAGACAGTGCAGTTAGTGCATTTGCCTAGATTATTTTTCAACATCATACAAGCTAGGTAGTTCATGAATGATGAGTAAATACATGTAGGTGAAATGACTTAGAAAACACATCTTACCTCTTCTTTGACGGTGCTCTCTTCCTTTTAGTCATCACAACTTAAGGCTATCTAGGGACAAAGATAATGAAAGTCAGAATTATTCTACATACATGTATCTAAAAGAATCTTACCATGCTATTGTCATTTTCGTTCCCTCTACTGGGGTGAAATATACAGCACATCGCACAATCACATGCCCACTATATCATACATGTAGGTGTGCAAAATAGACACGCAGAGTCCCCTTTGGGCTCAATGTAGATCTAAGATCGACCTCGTACGTACGAGTGCTCTGTAAGGCAGTCTAATGTACTATGAGGTTAATCATAGGTTTACCTTAAGTTATGACCAAAGATACTAAAGGCACCGTAGGTAGTTGGTTTACCAATAATAATACTATTTTATTTTAAGCCTCATCTAACTGTTACTGTTAGATCTAACGTTATAGATCCACTCAGTCTGTAGTCAGATAGTCTACAGGTTATAATATAACCTTGTAACGTTATATCTACTATCTTGCTGAGTGAAAAGTAAATGTCAACAGAAGATTTGCTATCGGGAAGCTACCACTGACATTTTGTACTCGCGATCATAACGCCGGAGCAAACACTGCACTGAAATACCACCATTTCAATTATATGAACAATATAGCCTGGGTCTGCATTACCAGCATACCAGCATAGATCTAGACCCTAGTCAGTGCTAGTAAGTATGACCACTAGACTATATAGATCTACTATAGTCTATGGCACTGACAGTGACATTCTATAATTGGTAGGGCCTAGGTGAAATTTACATTTTTAATGGAAAATTTTGTTGCGGCGTAGATGTACCAATCATACATTAGATTGTAGATCTATTTGTAATTGTAAGTTAATTGTTATAGTCTAGTCCCACAATCAAAATAAACCTTGCCTGGGGCTGCGTGCAGCTATTATAAACGAGTAGACCGCGTGTGGACTGGTTACATTTTTCTTCTTCTTCTTCTGGTTATGTCTGCCTCCTTCAAGATTAAAGATTCTTGCAAACTACTTAATGTGTGTAATGACCGCAATCTACGTTCATTTGAGTGCTATACTGTATACAAATAAATAATTTATTATGATTTTTTATTTACAAATATTTACATCACATGAACTGAAGGAGGAAGATCTAACTTAGATCTAGACCTAGTACTTAGACAGTCTTAGATGATACGTTAGACTTCTAGATCTAGGTCTTAGACCTAGATCTAGATCTAGTATGTGACATATTTTGCAATATCGTAAGATAATATGGTTATTTAATCTAGTTACGTTTGTACAACTAACGTTAGATTTAGTGATTAGATCAATTGAATGCACCATACATGGCATAATCCGTGTTAGTACTCGCACAGGATCGAGCGAGTGGGACCACGGTGTTTCACCTTCAATTTCACACATTTCATATACAGTCATAATGCTCCTTTAGAACGATTAAAATTGGGTTTTCATTATTCACAACTTTGGTTAACTTCTTACCGGGTCTTATTCTTCCTGTAGAATCTTCACATCTCCTAAGTGGGAGGATAAATTGAAGGGAAGCGGAGATTTCTGGTTTTCAGCAGCCGCTGCCGAATCTAGATCTTCCGCATAATAAAGGACAAACGAAGCTCGCAGACGATTTTTTTATTTTCACGAACTGGCACAGACACTTATGTCGTTGGGAATGGCGCGCTATCATTTTCACGAACCGGCACGGACGACTATGCCAGTTCGTGAAAATATGATTTGCCTTTTTTGGCGTCTGTGTCGTTTTACTAGTTTATGTTACCATGGATATCTCAAAAACTAAAGCGTTTTGGATGCTGAAATTTGGTGAGATGAAAGATTGTTGATAACTCATGCTAAAAATGCAAAAAAAATAAAAACTACATTTTGAAGGGATTTCGGTGGCTTGTGCCGGTTCGTGAAAACGGCGACGAATTGATTCGAGGGTAAGGGTAAAGATGACAATAACCAGGAACTACAAAAATAGCCCTTTTACTGCATGTCTATTCTGGAATCTAATGCAGGGATATGAGTACATTATTGTACTGGTAAATCTTTTTTCTTTCTTTCTTTCTCTTTTTTTATTCAAATAAAAAGGAAAACAAGAAAAATATATATCACATGACAGTAAGAAAATATATATATCTGCTTCATATTTATCCGACCTCTCCTACGAGATGAACCCCGACAATAAGACACTATTCCAAACTCGTGGGAGACAGTAAGCATGGGTTGACGAAATAAAATGCTTTTTACAATACTAAATTCCATCAAGATTAATAATATGGTTTAACAAAACAGAACACAAACTATATATTCCTGTTCTGAATTAACAAGTGATACATGTATTATGATGTGTTTGTTTTGTAATTATCTATCTTGTTTCATGACAACTCATATCAGCCTTACTTTTCGTTCTATTTGTTCCCTTTATAGTATTTTCTTTTTTTTATTTTGGTTTGGCTAATTGATTATTTATATTTCGTGTGTGAACCTTTAAACATATATACATCGACTTGAATAACTTATACATGTATTTTCTGTGTTTGCTTTGAATTTATCATGTCTCGAAATAATTAATGTTTAACTTTCAATTACGTATCTTTCCTGTGTTTCTTCTGTATTTATCATATTATCCTGCCCCCTTGTTGCAACGAGGGCTAGATATCCCACCCCAAAATAAAAAAAAACAAAGACAAATTTTTCACGGCATTTTTAAAACTTTAATCGTGTTGCACTATAGAGACCGTACCAGACCTCCTTACTGTCACAATCATCATCACCCTCACCCCAAACAAAATAGGATTGTATTATCTCTTTGTACGCTACATGACGGCTCGTAATACACACAATATCGGCCCGTATTGACTTTACACACCGGACTTGGGGGGGGGGGTATTTTCAAAGGGAGGAAACATGCATACGAGTACCCTAAATAACTTATTATGGGGGGGGGGAGGGGGAGGTGTGTGGGCTGGGCAGTAACTAGGCTCACGGTCCGGTCCAACCCCGCTATTTAATTTGCAGGTCCATAAGTCCTAACAAATAACTTTCTTCAAAACTTGTCGTATAAACAATTAGTATTTTCTGAGTCCTGAAATAACTATAATAATCGGCCTGCTTGGCTTAATTAATGTCTCAGTGGCGTAGCCTGGATAAGATCAGTCGTTGTATTGTATTGTATTTATTTTCCGTCATTTTAAAAATACATCAACATATATATATATATATATATATATATATATATATATTTACAATCATAAAGACACACTTATACAAAAGAAAGACGGAGGGATGGCCCTACTCAGCGTTGTTAGCATAACAATGCTGGTTTACAGAGGGATCCCTATAGACATAGAAAACGTGAAAATAGATATTACAAAAGTAAGGAAAACTAACAGCAAAATAAAAACTTACAATAATGATAAGAGCAAATTCGAGTAAAACAAGAAACAGGGGAGAAATATTTACGATATATATGCAAAAGAGAAAGCTAGACAAGTAAATAATTTATTTTAAAAAAAAAGAAGAAAAAAGATACAGCTACAAGAAGTTTGGAATAGTATTGTTTAAATACTTTTTGAATTTGTGAACAGTTATATTGAATTGAGCTTCTATATTGGGTAGTTCTGTGACAATATTCAGTTCTAGGTTTAGGGCGAACAAAGTTACCAGAATTGCGGAGGGAATACATATGAGGAGGGGAATGAAACATTTCATTCATACTGCATGGGAGATAACATATTATGGACTGATTTATAGACAAATACATTTAGATTTTTCTTACGCCTGGATTCGAGAGATGACAATTTTAAAAGTGAATTAATTTGTGCGTTAGAGATGTGTTCATATGGATTAACTTTCATTATTATTCTGCCCGCGCGATTTTGGAAAGTTTACATTTTCTTAATATATTTTTTATCACATGAATCGATTAAAATGTCTGCATAGTCATAAAGGGGTAAAATAATTGCTTCATAGATTAAGTTCAAATTCGTCTCATTAATAAAATAACGTAGTCTAGCCAAATATTTTACTATGTTTCCAACCCTCTTACATAATTTATCTATATGGACATCCCACTTAAATTTGCTGTCGATAATGAACCCGAGATATTTTACACTGTCAGTCTGTTGTATTGCAAAATTATTTATATATACATTTCGGGGGCAGGGTGGTGGGGCGAGAATTCCAACGAGGAGGACAAATTACGATAGGATTATATGTGTGTTATGGTTTACTTTTTTTTCCGTCACCACATGAGCGGGGGTTGTCTCTATAATTATAATTATCAAAGATAACAGGTAAAATATAACTATTTTAAAAAGAGTCAAATATTCACGGCTATGTGTCACCCTCCCACAGCTATGTCAAAGCCGTGAGGTGTCTTCCATCCAATATGTTCCTTTGTTATTATCATGAATCGCGACCTTTATTTCGTATTATGGAAAGCGACCCCTACTCCTACTATGAAAAGCTACCCTCATTTTGTATTACGAATAGCGACCCTCTTCTCGTGTTATGAATATCGACCCTAATTTCGTATTATGAATAGTGACCCCGATTTCGTATTATGAATAGCGACCCCGATTTCGTATTATGAATAGTGATCCTAATGAGAAGTGACCCCCAATGTAAATTATGAATAGTGACCCTCTTCTCGTTTTATGAATAGCGACCCCGATTTCGTATTATGAATAGCGACCCCGATTTCGTATTATGAATAGCGACCCCAATTTCGTATTATGAATAGTGATCCTTATGATTAACGGTCCGTATATCTTTATGAATAGTGGCAGTCTTCTTCCATTATGAATAGCGGATCAGCAGGTATGGGAAGTTCCACATTATGAATAGCGGTCCTTACAAATAGCGAATAGACTTTGGGTGGTGGTGGTGGCAGGTGCGGATATACGTGTACAAAGTCACAGCACTAGTAAGCTGTCTTTATTGATCTGAAATGTATAAGAATCATCCCAAGCGAGACAGTGTCACTAGAAGAAGCAAGACTTTACAAATGTAAAACAAAACAAAATTGCCTAGTTGGTTAATGAATGTTTTGTCCTGTATCTGTAATGTTCACAGTGATCACGTGGGTAAAGTTCACTTTATAGGACTTATTTTCAGACCCCGTTGAGTCCGTGAACCTCAGATCGTTATATATATATATATATATATACACACAACACACATTTATGGGCCTCTACTCTGATCCCTGAGTGCTCCATTAAAACTCTCCATACAAGTGTACAATGCCACTATTTGGTCTGATAAGCGTCAGATGTAGATTTAACCGTATAATAAGAGTCTACAATAATACATTCAAAGCAAATCATTTGCAACTATTGGCAATTCTCTAAGCGAAGACAATATTTAGTCTATTAAAGGCATCGTTTAACAATGTGAAATCTGAGAAGCATGGCCCAACATGTTAAAAATGTCTGTAATATAGTATAACATTAAAGCCCTAAACAAATTGCGCTTCAACATGATTAATGAAGTGCCCCCCCCCCAATAGTGAACATGTTTGAGTGACCGGTTTTACAATACTCATTTTCCCAGTAGACTATGGTGTTATAAAAACCGTTAGGAAAACGAAAAATTAAATTTCGATTTCCAATCATAAATATCTTGATAATCAGACAGACGATAGGCTTGTAAAAGTCACGGGGTTCCTCTCTGACCTAACATTTTATAAATATGATTGCAGCATTCGCTTAATCCAGGATTTTGTTTCAGAATCTGAGGCAATGTTACCGAGTGACTTTAAGAAACAAATTAAACAATTTGCAGCATTATAACGAAATGCTGATCGCTGAATTCATTTCATCATTTACTTCTTTTCTAAAACACTCAGGAATTAAACAAATCAATGTCAAAGAAGTGAACAAAATAATTGATATGTCGTAATTTCCAGCAAATATTTCATTGTTCACCCTTGATAAATATTGTTTGTGTCTTACATATGTTTTTGTAAATATGTATAACATGTAAACATAGTACACAAATAAATACATCCTCATGTAAGAGGCAAAGAATAAAAAGAACAGCGTGACTAAAGAATTTTACATTCTAGTAGATCCCCTCTATTCAGCCATCAAATACCTTTAACAGATGGAATCTATCTTGTTTTAATAACTAGCCACACAAAGCTTTCTATCATTCTTCCTTCTCTCTTTTTCCTTGTTTGTTTCATTTTTTCTTCCTTTGGCCTGAAACTTTTTTTCCCGATGAGGTAGCCCTAGCACATTCTTAGGTTTACCAGTGAAACCGGGAAAAAATATTAACAATCCTGGTTTTCCTTGTAAAAGGGCGCCAGCCTGGAAAAAACGTCGATGTAATAGTATACAAATAATGAATGGTTATGAGTTCAATAGTGCGAATATTTTCATGAGTTGAAAGATTAACATTCTATTCAACGAGGCGTCAGCCGAGTTGAATAGAATTAACGTTAATCTTTCAACGAATGAAAATATTCGCACCATTGAACGAATGAAAAACATTCATTATTTGTTCTATACAACATCGAAGAAGATCTAATAGAACGTTAATCAACAAATTATGCTTTACTCCTTATATTATAGATTATAAAATGGCTCTAGTATTTTAAGCATCGTGATTGGTCAATACGCGTCACATGACATTGACAAATTTTTGATGCAAGCACGATTTTGCAGAAATGAGTGCAGAAAAAGCGCAACAAAAAGTTATAATGCACGTGACCATGGAGATCCAGTGCGCGCGCGTACGTGTAGTACGCGC